CACTGCTTTTGCTGCGTCCCAAAGGTTCTGGTAGGATGTGTTTTCATTCTCATTTGATTCTATGAATTTCTTTATTCCATCCTTAATTTCTTCTATAATCCAGTAGTTTTTGAGCAAGGTGTTGTTCAGTTTCCATGTGTTTGATTTTTTTCCCATTATTGATTTCTACTTTTATAGCTTTGTGGCCTAATATGTGGTCTATTCTGGAGAATGTTCCATGTGCACTGGAAAAGAAAGTATACTTGGCTGGTGTTGGGTGGAGTGTTCGGTCTATGTCTGTGAGATCAAGTTGGTTGATTGTAGCATTTAGCTCTTCCATGTCTTTGTTGAGTTTCTTTCTGGATGTTCTGTCCTTCACCTTAAGTGGTGTGTTGAAGTCTCCTACTATTATTGTGGACCTGTCTCTCTTTTCAATGCCGTTAGTTTATGTATTTTGGATCCCTGCCATTAGATGTGTAGATGTTATTATGGTTATGTCCTCCTGGGGTATTGACCCTTTAATCATTAGTGTCCTTCCTTATCCTTTGTGCTGGATTTTACTTTAAAGTCTATCTTGTCAGAAATTAACATTGCCACAGTGTCAGCTTTTATGATCACCAGAGACAAGCCATCTAGACCCTTCTCCCTCTCCTCTTTCTTGATCCTTTTGAAGTACTAACATCACCCATCACTTTCTGCCTCTCGACTCTCTCCTCCTGGGCCATCCCATTTCTCTAACTTTTCTCCTGCCTACCTGCTCCTTACCCATTTCTTGAAACTTTGTCTGCACTCTGCATGCTTTCTGGGTCTGGCAGCAGTTAACACCCACAAGTCCATGGCTCTGAAAGCCCATCTCCAGAGCAGGACTCATAAGTCCATCGGCTTGGACACGGCTGCCTCAAGGGTGTCTGACTGACACCTCCAATTCATGCGGTGACACCAAGCTCTAGAGTGTCCCTCAGACCAATTTCTCCCCACCTGGGATGCCCAAACTGTTTCCCCGCCTTTCTCAGACCCCAACCGCTTCATCTTCATCGCCGCTGGATTTTATACTCCAGCAAAACTCCTCAGAGTTCCTTGCTGGTTCTTGCTTCTAAGCCTCTGGTTATGTCAGCGTATCTCAAAGAAGGGAGTTAGGACCATCCTCTATGAGCAATGCCAACTAACCAATGTACCAGCCCCTCCATGTGCCCTGGTTTCAAAGGCATCCAACAGTCCAGTGCCGTGGGAGGTGCAAGTGGAGGCATCAGGGCTGGTTTGCATCCCTGTCCCTTCCCTACAGGCCTGTGCCGGGTTGGAAGGAGTGACTTTCCTGCCCCTTAGAGGGCAGAACCATCTCTCCCTGACAAGGCTATGGGGATGCCAGCAGGGGAGCCACTCTGTTCACCACCTCGGCCACATCTGGCAGGAGCCCAGAGACCAAGGCTGTCTGCTAAGGTGTGGGGGGAGGGTTGGCTCGAGCCTCAGGGACTCCCCCCATTTCCCTAGTCACCGATCTCTGTCACTCACCCAGAGGCCAAAGGCACCCCGACTCTCCAAGCATGACACCTGAATGCGCTTCATTCCACTGGAGCCATCCATTTATTAAGAGGTCATCTAGAAGGCGGCCCCTCAGACACACGAGCAGCCACACGCTGCCACAGGTGACTGTGCTCAGGCTCAGCCACTTTCCTGCCCCTGCAAGCGTGGCTCCACGGTGGAGCCGTGGAAGAGGCTGCCAGGTCGGGCTCCCTGGAGGGAATCACAGTGAACCGGGGCTACCCCAGTGCAGTGGGCAGCCCAGGCGGGAGCGAGCTGGTGAAGATGCATGACCTGGTCGGGCGGGCAGTTGGTGGGCAAGCACAGAGGGCCCTTCCAGCTGGGGGCGCTTGGGAATCTGGCAGATGGTACATGAACAAAGCTGTTCTATGGAGAAGGCAGGGCTGAGGGGTGTTGACCATAAAAAGCAGCATTAGGACAAGAAAGACATGGGTACCTGAGGCCCTGTGACAAAGCACAGTGGGGCCGGTCCCTGCAGCCCCCACCACCTCAAGGCCAAACTTCAGTCGCCACCACGGAGCCCCAACGTGTTGTGGTAAGAGTGTTCTTGCCCAGGGTGGGGTGTGGGCCCAGTGTGGGGGCACGGCTTCAGCCCTGTGCTGGCACTGCTGTCCTTGCCCAGGCCGGAAGGCAGCACGTGCCCCCTTACTAGCTGGCAGTGCTCCTTCGTGGGACGCAGCCTTCCATCTCCAGCGCCTCGGGCCAGCCCTCGTACTTATTGGTGTGCTTGCTGTTCTTCACGTGCTGCCAAGGTTGGGGGGAAGCAGGAAGTCACAGCCTGGGCCCCGACCCGGGCCTCCATGCCGGCCCTCGGGGGCGGGGCAGAGGTGAGCCAGGCCAAGGGCTCCTGGTCGCCTTCTGCTGCTTTACCCAATTGGGTCTTCCCCCTCACAGGTGAGCCTGGCCCACACCAGGAGGCAGGGAGGTATAGGGGAGGTCACTGCTGGAAACTGCTGGAAGGGTGAGCGAGGGGGCCTTTCTTCTCTGAGGCTGAGCTTCCCTCTCAGCAGAAAGCTGTTGGGAGCAGTGCTTTAGGGTGCCCTGTCACCTGGCCTGTTTCTACGCTGTGAACCCTCCAGGGCAAGAACCAGGCCTGGGTCTCTCCCCTCTGGCCCCAGCCACAAGCAGAAAGCCTGACACATGTGGCCCAGGAGGAACAGTTGGCTGCAGGGGGCAGCCAGGGCTAGTGGAAGAAGAGCATGCAGGGAGAACCAGGGTCCTGAGCTTCAGAGGGACTAGGATTGGGCTCAGCATCTTGAAGATGTCTGGGAGGAAGGCTCTTAGCTGTGAATCTTGCCAATGTGAAAGCTTTGCCATTTAAAGGCCCTTTAGGGTAAAATACACACAGGACAGGGAAGGGCAGGGTCACCGTCCTAACCTGTACACATGGCCAAGGGGCCAGAGCCCTGCGGAGCAGAATTCAGGGGCTTGGAGGTGTCAACGGAGAGGACCGCCCACATGGGATGCCCGGGAGGGGGTGGTGCCAGGCTTGCCATCCATACCTGCTCAAAGGGGCTCTTGTCTTGCACGCCTTTGGCCCCCACAAACACCCAGCTGTCCCGGAAGGCCAGCTCCTTGGCATTGCGGCTGCCCAGCTCACTGAAAAGCTTCCTGGTCTCTTCATTCATCCTGCCGCCACAGAAGGAAGAAATGGGAGTCTTGGCTGGGGCCGGGTAAGGCGGAGGCCAGGCTGGGAAACCACTTACTTGGTAGCTGGGTCATCATAGGAAGCCACGAACACCAAGGTGCCTTCGTGCAGTGGCCGAATGAACTTCAGCAGGTCGTTGACATCTCGGGGTGGGGGCAGGGTCACATGAAACATGGAGCATTAGGCATACTGAGTGCCCTCCAACCCCTACTATCCAAATGAGGAGACTAACGTAGGGTGTGGCCCAGTGGCCGTGCTGCTAGAGGAGCCAGGGCTCTCCATGCTACAGTACACCACCTCTAGAAAAAGCAGCCAGACCCTAGGGAATGCCTGAGAAGCCCCCAGCGCAGGGTCAGAGCATGGAGTTCTGGGGGAGACACCCAGTCATTGTGCAATCAGAGATCAGGAGCGCTGTGGCTGCCACTCACCTCCAGCCCACATGTCGAAGGCTCTGGCCTCAATGAGCTCCCCACTGACTCCTGCGATGGCAGGAAGGAAGGAGAGGGGACGTCCTGTTGGGCCAGCACCCAGCAGCAACCCCACCCTACTACCTCAGCTCCCCTGGCCAAGCTCAGGCCACGGCGGGTAGCCACTGGGTGCAGCCTTTCCACAAGCTTTTCAAACTTCTCGTTTTCATCCCCACCGTGCCCCGTGTTCAAACAGCTGCTGCCCACCCTGAGCTGTATCGTTTCCTCTGCGGAGTCTTCAGCTGACAAAGACCCACCCGAGGCCAAAACCCAGAAGGTGGGAGAGTGGGAAGCAGGGCCCCGCAGGTCACAGCACGGCTCGCCTCTCCTCTTCCCGGAGCTCTGGCCCCACAGTATGAGGGTGACTCACCGTTCACTAGGGCAATGTTCAGCCCGCGGCCAACGTTGTCCTTGACGCTGCTCATAAGCCTGGGAGACAGCAAGGAAGCCCTCCCATGGGTATGCTGGCTCTGCCCCTGTGGACTCAGCCTCTCTCCCTGACTCCCTCCTCCTCTCCTCTTCCCCTGCTGTTCACCCCAAGGCTCTCACATCTTGTCCTCGAGGCAGATCTTGGGCCCAATGACGTTGGCAGCCCCGCTGACCATGCGGAAGGCCAGGTGCTCCTCGGGACACGGCTGGGGCAGGCCACACTTGTACTTCCTGGCCCGTGGCTCTGGGCAGAGAGAGCAGGTATGAACCACAGGCTTAGCCCTGGGGTCACCCAAGCCCTGAGAGGAGGGGGTCAGGACCATGCCATAGGGTGGTGAGAGTGACAACTAAGCAGAGGACCAGAGGGGGTGGGGCACAGCTCTGGCCAGGGCCACTGCCATAGAGACTGTATCCTGCTGGGGCTGGCCTCAGTGGCTAGCAACAGGGACCCCAAGGAGAAGGCTCTTTCTGCCACGGGTGGGACGAGAGAAAGGAGAGGTCCAAGGGATGGGCTGCGGGGTCCCACAGCAAGGAAGAGTCGCTGGGGAGCCCAGAGGAAACGCAGCAGATGGAGCAGGGTGCCAGGTGCCGCCACTCCTGATCCTGCAGGGACGGCCTCCCTCAGCCAGTCCCCAGGCACATTGTTCCAGTGGCTGTGGTGGCTGCTTGGAGGGGAGCTGGGGGCAGGCATGTCACAGAAGTAGTTTGAGGGGTGGGCACAGGGGAGAAGCAGGGAGGTGACAAGAGCTTTACCTGCAGTCACTGAGTTCTCCGGGCCTGTGGGGACAGAGCATTGGTTCCGTTAGTGAGCAGGCCTCCTGGAGTCGCAGTTAGGCCAGCCTGGCCCTACACCACGAAGCCGAAGGCGGAAATGTCAGTCACTCAGGGGCGACACTAGGCTGACCTTGGCACGTCACCTGCTCAATTCTACATGATGTTCAGATCTAAAATGCCTGCTCCGGGTAAAGGCTCAGATGGAACTGTCCAAAGTATTTAGGTGAAGTGCCATCAGTGACAAGGTATGGAGTCCCCTAACCCTGTCACAGGTCGCTGGAAAGCCTGCCGGCAGCAACCAGGCTGGCCTGCTCCACTGTTCAGATGAAGCTCCCCACCCCTTGCCACCCACCCTGACGCAGGGAACAGACCCACACTCACTGGTGAAGAGTTGCTGGATGCGTGGGAAGCCACTGCCTGGCCTGCCCAGGAGGATGCTGATTACAATCCAGGTGAGGCCAGCGGTGATGATCAAGGCCACGATCCGGAGGGGGCCTGAGACAGGACAGACATGAGCCCCCCACCTCAGATAACCCCAAGGCCTCTCACAACCATATCTTCCCTTCCACTTGGGAGGAAGTGACTGGAGGACAGGAAAGTGGGCACTTGTTGTCATCCATCGGGCCCAAGAGCTGGCAGATTCGAGCTCTGGGTGGCTCAGCTCGGTGTTCCCTGGCAGGTTTGGGGGTCTTCCAGCACTCACTGCTCAGGAGAGGCTCCAGCTCTCGCCCCGGAACCCCTCAATCTACCAGTATATTTGTGCCCCACCATCCTCGCCCCATTTCCTCCTGTTACAATAGAGAACGTGGCCCTACTCGTTAACAGCTGTATGGTGCATGCCACACTCTCTTCCTTTCTGTTTGCGTGTAATATAGACCATTCTGTCTGTATCACTCTTTTTCCTGTATTTTCAACATCTCTCGTTTTAAAAAAGCAAAAAAGCAAAAGCCCTCCTTCCAAACCACATGCCCATTCAGCTACTGACCTCTCCCCTCCCTCCCCATCACACTCCTCAAGTCTACACTAGCTCTTTCCATCAGCTCACCTCCCACTCTCCCAACCTACTCCCATCTGGCAGAGCTTGTTGCCAAGGTCACCTATGACCTTCACGCCACTGATGCCCATGGTCACTTGTCAGCCCTGATCTTTCCCAACCTCCTTCTGGAAACCCTTTTCTTCACTGGCCTCCAAGAGCCTGCACTCTTCTAGCCCTACCTCTTTGGATCCTCCTCTCTGCCTTCCCCTTAAAAGCTGGACTTTCTCAGGTTTCTGTCCCAGTCTGCCTTCTCGTCTCTACCTGCTCTCTCTTTCTAGGTGATCTCATCTACTCCCGAGTCCTGAATTGATCATCATGTAGCAATGACTCCCAATTTGCTAGCTCCAGTCTGACTCACACCCATCCAGCCAGTTCCTTATTGGCCATTTCACAGATCTGAACTTCAATCTTTTTTTTTTAAATTGTTGTGCTTTAAGTGAAAGTTCATATTTCAACTTAGTTTCTCATACAAAAATTTATACATACGTTGTTATGTGACTCTAATTGCTCTCCCCATACTGTGACAGCATGCTCCCCCTTTCTACCCGTGATTCCCCATGTCCATTCAACCAGCTCCTCACCCTCTCTGCCTTCCCATCTCACCTGCGGACAGAAGCTGCCCCTTTGGTCTCTTGGATCTACTTGAGCTAAGAGGCACACTCCTCATGAGTATCACTTTATGTCCCACAGTCCAGACCAATTCCTGTCTGAAGAGTTGGCCTCGGAAAATTGTTTTAGTTCTGGGCCGACAGAGAATCCAGGGGCTGTGCAATCCACAGAGATACTCAGATTTCACCAGTTCTACATGCTCATTTGTGTGTATGTTTGTAGTTCCATGTAATTTTATCACGTGTAGATTCGTGTAACCACCACCGCAATCAAGATACAAAACCACAAGGCTCCATCATGCTATCCCTTTATAGTTCAATTTCTTTTTTTTTTAAATTGTTGTGCTTTAAGTGAAAGTTTACAATCAAGTTAGGTTCTCATGCAAAAATTTATACACACATTGTTATGTGACTCTGGTTGCTCTCCCCATACTGTGACAGCACACTCCTCCTTTCCACTCCGGATTCCCGTGTCCATTCAACCAGCTCCTGACCCTCTCTGCCTTCTCATCTCGCCTCTGGACAGGAGCTGCCCATTGAGTCTCATGTATCTACTTGAGCTAAGAGGCACGCTCTTCACGAGTATCACTGTATGTCTCATAGTCCAGTCTAACCTTTGTCTGAAGGGTCGGCCTTGGGAATGGTTTTAGTTTTGGGCCAACAGATGAACTTGAATCTTAAGTGCTATCCTCCACCCCTCCAGCTTGTTCCTCCCCAAGGCTGCTTCATCTTAGTTGTTCCAGCCGAAAGACAACAAGGCTGCCATGGGGCTGGTCAGTCCCACCCTCTCCATCTGCATCCCCCAGCCACCGCACTTCGGATCCTCACTCTCCCCACAACTCAGTCTCCAAACAGTGGGCGGTCCCTGCTGGGAAACATCAGCCATCGTGATGCTCACTGTAGAGATGCTTTCTTCAGAGATGAAAAGACTTGTTTAGGTCTTAGAACCAGACATACACAACTCCCTTCCATTCTGTGGAAGCCACCCACCTGCCAACCTCATGTCCACCTCACCCGCTGAGCTGGGGCCGCCGGCAGTCTCACCGTTTGGGGACCGTGCGCTCTGGGGGAAACAAAGCATAAGAGCAGATTTGAGGGTGAACCAGGGCAAGAATTCCAGTTCAGGCCTGCTGGGGGGGGGGGCGTGGTTCCTTCCCCTAGCACAACCACTGGCCCATAGTCCTCTTCGGTGACTCGGGGAGAAGCCCTGCCTGGTCAGGAACGGGACTCGGGACCGCGCCGGCTCAGGAGCTGCGCTCAGAGCTGGGAAGTGAGGCCCCTGGGCTCGGGCCCAGGCCGCCCCTCTGGGCCTCAGGGCCCCGCCTGACAACTTGCCTCGCCGAGGGGAGACGTAGGCTCGGTCAGGGAGAGCCCCGCCGGGTCACGCCGGTTGCTGAACTCACACGACGCGCTGCGCAGCCGGGCGCGCCGAGCAATGGCGACTCGGGGAGGAGCTGGCCCCGCCCCGCCCCGCCCCGCCCCTACCATTCGCTCGGACCGCCGAGTGGGAGGGGTCCGCGCCGGTCCCGCCCCCGCGGCGCGTTTTGGCCAGGCCGTCCGTACGCCGAGTGGGCGGGGTCAAAACCACTTCCAGCCCAGCTCCGCGCAGGCCTCTCCTCTGCTGTGCGCTAGGGCCGCGCTGACCCGGCTGTGGAGGACGAGGTCTTCGCCTCGCCCTGACGCGGAAGTCTCTTCTCGGAGGTCCCCTTAGGTGGGAGCTCTCCGCCTCCCTAGGATGAAGGGCTGCGCCTGTGGTGGTTCCCTGTGGCCTGATTTCTGAAGCCCGGAAAGGGTGGATGGACCTGGGGGTGGAATGATCAATTGTTCTAAAGTTGAACCATGTGCACTTTAGAAATAAGGATGGTACAAAAGAGTATATAAGGGAAAACACCAGAAATCCATGAGCCAGAGCCATGGTTAGCCTTTTGATGCCTTTCCTACTGCACTTGGGGAACCGGGGCCCTCGTGTCAGCTGGACCCCTCTTTCTGGAGGGCAGCTGGGAGGTGTGAATTACATCCCTGCCCTTTGACCCAATGATTCCACCTACCAGACGACCTCTCTATCCATCTGTCCAAGAAAGTAATAGAGCTCCGGTTAGAATGCAGTAGCTTCTGTACCTGTAAATGGAACAAGATGGAGGGAACCAGCGTCAGCAGCCTGTTGGTGTAGTCAGGGTTTTGTCGTGGAAGTTTGGATCAGCGACAATGCTGACCATTTGCCAGCCTCTCTCCTATTTGTGGACGGCGCTCATCCTCGGTGGTCTTTCCTCTCAGTGTTTATAATTGTGTGCCCAGCAGAGGAAGCTCCGTTATTCAGACCCTTGGGCTGCCAGCCAGGCAGGGACAGGCGTCTGTCAGTCTGGTGGCTCTTGAAGGACAATGTTTACATCTGTAGGAAAGGTTGCTTTAATGAGTTCCCTGAAGGTCCCGGGGCCAATCCCCAGGGGCACCACCGGAATGGATCAGCCGCAGACCTGGGATTCAGTTCCGGGTCTTCTGTGTCTTTCAGGGCAGTCTTGCACAAGTCCTGATCCTCTCTGGGGCTGTTTTTCAATGCAAACAGAGAGAGGATTAGACTTCAACCCTTTGCTTTGCCTTCTCTGCTTTGTTTGAGGTCTAGCCAGTGGTCAGCGTGTATACCCTGATTGAGCAGTGCTCCAATAGGGGACATCACAAAATGGGGGAGGAGAACCCTGTAATAGGTGTTTCTAGACCTCCTATAAGAAGGATACCCCAGGTATTTTTTTAGGCCCCTTTCTGAAGAAGAGTCAATCCAGAATATACACACAATTACATTAAACTGGGAGGGGCCCCTGCCTAGCAGAATGCAAAAGGAGTATAAACTAAACAAGAGGGCTGAAGACTCAACCGAAGAGAGCAGAGCCTAAATCCTCAGCAAAGGGAGCCTCTTTCAGTGCCTGGGTGCCATGGACAAAGGGATGGCAGGCCTTAGGGGCCAGGAGAGGAGAATGGAACTGGGGGCTGAATTAGAAAAAAGCAAGTTGCAGAATGACACCCACCATATGATAACATGTATGCAGAAAGAAACACACAAAATGATACAGTTTTTATTTACACTTTTTGGGTACGTATATATGTGCAAAGGAGCCCTGGTGGCGCAGTAGTTAAAGCACTCGGCTGCTAACTGAAAAGTCGGCCGTTTGTGGGAGAAAGATGTGGCAGTCTGCTTCCGTAAAGATTTACAGCCTTGGAAACCCTATGGGGCAGGTCTACTCCGTCCTGTAGGGTCCCGTGAGTCAGAATCAACTCGACGGCAATGGGTTTGGTTTGGTTTGATATATGTGCATAAAACTATAAAAGAGTTCTGGAAGGATACACACTGAACTCATAGCAGTAGTGACTTCTGGGGTTGGTGAGAAGTGAGTGAAATCATGAATACTGGCCAGAAGGATTTATCTGTAATGTCCTAATTCTTTTTAAAACACTTATTTTGAAATAATTACAGACTCACAGAAAGTTGCAAAAATAGTTTATAGAACAACCTACAGATTGGGAGAAGAGTTTTGGGAACCATAAGGGCCTAATATCCAATATATACATGAAAGTTCTACAGCCTAACAACCAAAAGACAACCCAATCAAAAAATGGGCAAAGGATTTTTACAGACAGTTCACTAAAGAGGATATTCAAGTGGCCAACAAGCACCCAAAAAGATGCTCAACATCACTAACCATTGAAAAAACAAACAAACAAACAAAAGCCCCACTGCTGTTGAGTTGAATCCTACTCATAGAACTGCCCCGTAGGGTTTCCAAGGCTGTCATCTTTACGGAAGCAGACTGCCACATCCTTCCCCTGGAGAGTGGCTGCTGAGTTCAAATCACCAACCTTTCCATTAGCAGCCGAGTGCTTACCCACTGCACCACCACCAGGGCTCCATTCATTAACCATTAGGGAGATGCAAATCAAAACCACAATGAGATGTTACCTCACCCCCATTAGAATGGCAATGACAAAAACCAACCACCGGAAAATCACAATTGTTGGCAAGGTTGTGGAGAGACTGGAACCCTCATCCATTGCCGGTGGGAATGGAAAATGGTGCAGCCACTGTGGAAAACAGTTTGGCGGTTCCTCAAAAAGTTGAACCGTATGACCCAGCAATCCCGATCCTAGCTATATACCCAGAAGAAATGAAGGCAGGAACCCAAACAGAAACCTGTACACCAGTGTTCATCGGAGCACTTTTCACATTAGCCAAAAGGTGGAAACAACTGTCCATCAAAAGACGAATGGATAAACACAATGTGGTCCATCCAGACAATAGAAGATTAGTCAGCCATAGAGAAATGAAGTTCTGATCCATGCCACAACATGGATGAACCTTGAAAACATTATGCTGAGTGAAAGAAGTCAGTTGCAAAAGGACAAAGATTGTATAATCTCAGTTATATGAAATAAGCAAATATATAGAAACCAATGATTATTAATGGTTACCAGGGGTGGGAAGAAGGGGGAAAGAGGGAGTTTTTGTCTGGGGGGGGCATTGAGTTTATGTTAATGGTGGTAGAATAGTTTGGAAAAGGATACCAATAATGGTGGTACAACATGAAAAATATAATCAATGTTGTTGAATTGTAAATGTGGAAGTTGTTGTGTTGGCAAATGATTTGGCGTGTCTATTTTCACCACAATTTAAAAAAATAGTACAGAGTCCTGTGTACCCTTCACATAGCTTCCTCCAATGGTGACATCCTATATAGTTGTATGACAGTTTGAAAACCAGGACACTTTCCAAACCAGGTAGCTAACCAGGGGCACTGTTAACTACACCTCTTACTCTTAGCCGGCTTATTCAGTTTTTACCATTTTTTAAAACCTGCATATTCGCGTGTGTGTGTAGTTCTATGCAATTTGTAGACACTTGTGTACCCACCACCACAATCAAGATACAGAACTGTTGCATCAGCACAAAAGAACTCCCACATGCTACCTCTTTGCATTCGCACCCACTCCCCACCCGGCCCTCCCATTCCTCTCCCCTGGCAACCACTTTTAAGAAATTCTGCATCACTGATGTCCTTGATGGCACAGAGGATGACAGAAAGGAAAACGTGGAATCCATAACTCTGGGTCAAAAAGGGATTCAGAGGAGCCAGATTCTGCGTGTGAAGAGGATTCAGAGATACCTTACTCAGTTTATTTCACTTACTTTCCGTTTTTGTCTTTACGAGAGTGATATATGAAAAAGTCTATGTCTAAATGAATCTAAAGTAGCATTTTTTAAACAGGAATTGGCTGACGCGATTGTGGGGTCTGGGAAGATCGAAAGCCACTGGGCAGGCTAGAAGACTGGAAATTCAGGCAAGAGTTGATGTTGCCGAGTTTTTTTTTTTAAATAATTTTATTT